ATTGAAACTAATAAAATTTAATAATAATAAAAAAAGAACTCCTCAATTAAGTCAAGTCACTCCACATCGGTGTAAATGCTTACCCAAATCTGATATTATCTCTCATTTCCACTATCATTTTCTACTTGTTCATGCTGTAAATGAGACTCTTAGGTGACCACTTGCTGACCGAGTGGTTCGCCAGTCTTCAGGCTCAGCCCCAAGTCATAGTTTCACTAATCTGGGCTTGTCTTCTCTCTCTAGTGCTGAAAATGTCTTCGTATTCTGGTTTAGTTTGGTTTTACCTGAGAAATCCTGTCTTTATTGGGAACCCCTCTTCTAGGAGCTAACTGATTTTAGGTCCATGTTTAATTCTTTTAATTGGGTTCCTTATTCTGATTTTAAAATGATGGCCATATGTCAGGCTACCTTTGGACAGATTCCTCTGCCTACACTCTGCTTTCAAGATTAAAAGTGCCTAACCTTATCTCCCCTGGATTCTTGATTAATGAGACCTACCTACTTGCCTTGACATTGTACTGGATTTCAAGATGTCCCTTGCATTCTTATTGGAAGTGACCCTTCTTGTCTGACATTGCAGTCTTAAGATACCCTGTTCTTCCTGTCTTACTAAACTTCTAAGCAGACATACATAGATCTGTTCTAGAATCCTCCCCGCCTCATTGAGTATGAGATAGAGGAATCCAATTCCATATCCCAGACTGTTAGTCTTCTCAGTATTTTTTTAATTGACAAATCCATGCTCAAATAAACCCAGAAACAAAATATTCCACTACATGGAGAAAAATCAGCTTTCTCTGCCTATATTGGGCCTATTCTTGCTTATCTTTAAGTCTTGGATCCTGCTAATAATATCTCTGCCTGAAATTCGCTTGCAAAACTCCCAGTTTCCAGCTGCAGAACTCCACTTCTTTGTTTAAGCTTCAGCTTAAATATCGCATGTGTTCTAGCACAAATTTCTCCCCTAAAAATGGAATCTTGCCTGCTGCTGAACAAATAGTTTATTACACATGCTCTATGGCTTCTGAAGCCCTAAGGCGTCTCCTCTGGCAGCACTGAGCCCAGAGGCCCTTCCTTATTTCCCCTATATCTCCTTGTGAATTAAGACTCAAATTTAGTTCAGACGCTCTTTAGTACCCTTCAATCTGGCTATTCCATCGATGTTTCTTGGAGAAAGAAGAAGTACAGCACTTACCTTGTCTCCAGATGCACTGATTCTCCTTGTCAAGCAATACCTGCAGTTGCTGGCAGGTGGAGTGCAGGGTCCCTGCAGTGTGCTCCAAGAGCTGGTGAAGGACCCTACTGAGCTCTTGACCCAGAAAGACCACTGTGGCTAGCCAGGTGCCCCCGCGAGCCCCCACAACAAGATCATCACCTAGGAGGGCTTGCTTTAGCATCAGGTGTTGTCTCCAAACCTGCTTCAGGATTTGGCCCAGTTTATCTGAGCCCATGTCTTCTCTATCCATTATATGCTGCAAAACTGAATCTACTTCTTTCTTGCCAGCAGAACCTAAAGGTTTAACAGATTCAAACTTGACGATGGTGATTTCTCCTAAAAGCTAGGAGATGATCCAAGTTGGCTAGCCAAGCACTTTTCTGCAATGTAATAGTTTATTCAGCTTGGTGTTGACCAGTGAAAAGTTACTAGGTGACCAAAGAAGGGGAGTTTCTGCACCCGGGTGCCACTGTGTACAGAATAGATTAATCACAGGAATAGAGCTTGCTCTCACAATCCACCTCAGCAAGCAGATTTTACAAATTCAGTGTATTTTGGAAGTTTACGTTTTCTAAGATTTTGGCAACAAAATTTGAATTCCGTAGTAAGATCAGAAATTTAGTAATCAAAAAAATAAAGATCCTAAAGCAACACTTCTCTTACAAGACTCCTATAATACTTGGAGCTTTGAAAACTCATCAGGAGTCCAAATAGACCCCAACGGCTGTAAGTGAAAGTCATTGGGGGATTTGAGGTGTTTGATGGGTTTTTTCCCCTGTTTTGGTTTAATAACTCTATAACTCAAAACTCAAATTCACATCAGTCCAATCAATTCTGACTCGTAGCAGCCATCCATCATGTGCCTGAAGCTGTAACCACAGTGGAAGGAAGCGGCCCATTTTTCTCCAGAGGAACCCATGGGGATTTGAACTGATGGAGGTGCAAAGCCCTTGGGTCAGCACCACAACTCACTATGAACTATGCCTTCGGAGCTCCCTTGGCACTCTTCTAGGAGAGAGATAAGCCCACCACCATGTCTTTCTGCTGTGGATTAGTTCTTGATTCTAATGACTGGCTGTGTTGTTAGCAGTTGAGCACTTAACCACTGTGCAACCAGTGCTCCTTTTACAATTGGTTTGGTTCGTGTAATTAGCACCTTCTTATATGGCAAGTGAGAGTGAGATTGGCAGTTGGTTTTGTTACGTTGTTACCCTCCAATATTTTCCCTCTAATTAGATAAAATGGCCCTCACAAATAGAAA